AGCATAATAACTTTGCCATAAAATGTTGCTAGATAATGTTTTGTATCATTTTAATGTTTTCGTACATGTTGTACAAACATAGATGTTTAAAATCTTGTCCTTGTGTACGTTTTAAAGGGAACTGTTTTCCTCCTCTTCTACCATCGCCCCCCAAATCCCCATTGTTACTTCAGCGTCTTTTCTCCACCCAGTGGTAGAGCTCAAGGAATGACCCACGCATCGGACAAAACCATTTCCTTTTTTGTGTAATGAAAAAAACCTATCCCAGGAATAGAACGTAAGCCTGGTCTGGATCATGATACAAGCTTTTTTTTTTTATTTTAAGAGTGTGATAGCAGTATCATAAGTGTTGAGAAAATATAAATGGTGCGATAACACCTCTGTAGGACTTTCTCTTAAGTAGTAAAATTGTAAAGACTTTAAATAAACTAGAGCCAGACCTGAGAGGATCAATTTATCTTGATAATGGGGAATATTTCATTTATTTTGTGTACAAGAACATCTGCAAAATAGATACGTAATTATGATTGGTAAAACTGCAGTTCTAATATTATATGAATTGCACAACACTTTGCAGTATGAGTCAATAGGGAAGTGCCATGTATTGTTATAATCTGAATCTGCAAAAAATGAAATTGAGAAATAGGCTTCATGCTACGTACGCTGAAATATACGTACACTGGAAATAGTAATGATGATCCCTTGGCATTGTTACATCGACCACAGGTTCTGTGCAGCTGGTTGTCTAGAGGTAGGTCCCAAACACTTTTTGTTCTTCTCTTGCTTTGTGCATGGAAAGACTTTCAGGTTTGCCCAAAGAAATAATTAAGTATCTAATATTTTTAAATATTTCAAGTAAAAAGAAAATACTTACAACTCCCCTACAAATATCATCTTCTTGCTTTATTAAATCACACACACAAAAAATTTCATTATTTTTACACTTGGGGCAGGGCATTACTTTTTTTCCCATAAAATCTTTGCTTTTTATATATGTAACTATGCCTCCACTTAGACACAGCCTATGGCATGGAGAAGAGCCTGTGGGCCTGACCTATGTCAGATATGTCATGAGCCATAACTGCTGTGGGTGAAAGAAAGGTCCATAATCAGTTTCTGTGGTAACTGGCAGACATCTGCAACTCTGACACGGTTTGGGATCTGTCCTTGTCTGCACATAGAGCATTCCGTGATGGATGTGTGTAGCTGTTCTGGCAAAGCCTCGTCAGGGTTCATTTTATGGAGGGCAAGCTTTTTCCTTCCCTAACAAGGCATTTTCACTCCTCTTGTGTTGTGCTCTGACCCTCATTTTATTTAACTTGTATTTGTAAATATTGAGGATAACCTTTATTATTTGATTGAAGCAATCAAATTTTGATTCTTTCTGTTGTGTTACAGTCTGAACTGAATTTACAGACTGGCTCAAATTTGCATCCAGTTTTGCCGCTGCCTGACGTTCTGTTTTGGTAGCTTGCTGCTTGCAGGGAGAAAGAAAACATTGTATTAGCCCGTGAGCTTGTAAAGTTATGGAAGAGGCATTTGGTAAAGTCGTAACGATTGGATGACACGCAAATTTCTAAAATATCAGTTCTGCTCTGAAAGAGCAATTGTTCTTTGTATCATGTGCAGTATCAGGAAGCAGGTTTGTTTGAGTGTGAGACAGGCTTCCCTCGCGTTCTGATTGCCACTCCTTGCTGCTAAAGTGTTAAACTGCAATGGTTTGTAATCAGATCCGGTGTATCTGCTGCTTTTGTGGTATCTTGCTATGCACCCTGAAGCTTTGGTCTACAATGCAGATACTGCTTGAGGGAGGAATGAGTGGTGATTGTCAAGATTACGGAGATGGAGATTAATTCTTGATTTGAGATTATATCTGGAACTATTGTGCGCTATTTGTGAGATTATTCTCCGTGCCAGTAGTTCTAACACTCTTTGTGCTGCTCAACGTTGAGTTACTTCATTTCATGAGAGAGTTGCAAGCAAGACAGAGCATAATTAAAAACAAACCAACATTCTCCAGACTCCTGTAAGGTTTCTGGTAAACATTTATAACTAAACCTATCTAAGTCCTTATGTGACTGCCAAAGGGATTTTAAAGTGCTAGAAGTAAGAGGAGAGAGGGATCGTCAAGTTTTGTGTGCTTATATGAGGATGTCTAGTATGCTTTAACCTGTTCCTTTTTCCCCTTCTGTTAAGCTACAGCAACATTAAGGGTAGATAGCTGGAAGCAGTTTTATCCCTTTGCAACAGTGCCTGGCCGTGTACTGCAGGCGGGGCCTTCTGAAGCCGGGGAATGCTTGCAATTGCAGTTCAGATTTTGTTCACTGGGACATCACACCTTGAACCAATCAAGACCAGTGAGCTAACAAGTGAGAGGGACCTCCTGTTGTCTTCAGTGGTTTTTTTACTTCACAGCTTCCAGAAGGAATGATTGCTACAAAAAAAACCACCACCACCACAACCCAGCACAGCACTTAAGAAAGCGCCTGTTGAGAGTAGAAATCAAACTGGTCACTAGACAAACCATAAGCTTTCAAAGGCTTCTGAATTTTCCCAGAAAAAGGACATTTTTAGAAATGTGATAATAGGTATGGTTTTTCTGAGATGCTGACGTAGGGACATTCAGTGTAAACAGTCCAGGAAACAAGAGAATAAATGTCAGATTCACCTTTAAAAGCCAAAGAAACATTTTGATAATCTAACAGCACTCTTCTTGTATTGTTCTGAGCTTACACTGATTCATAAACTTTAGCTATTCAGAAGTACCCTCAAAGTTGTGCTTGTGTATTGGGACGATTTTAGATCTAAACTGAAAGACATATCAAACAAGATCTTAGAAACTGAGTATGGCTGTTAATTAGATATCTTTTGAGCAGAGGTTACAGTGTCTTCCCAACTAGCAATTAACTGGTTAATCCCATTTTTTGCATACTTTCATCTGAGACATTGTCAAGAGGCATATGGTGATGTTACCAGTGTGTAACAAAACGTGCTGTCTTGAAGCACGTTTTAAGTGTTCGTCAATAATGTCTTCAAAGTAGATAAGACGGCAGTTCTTTGCAAAGTTTTGCAAAGATGTATGTAACTTCGGCAGTGTAAGGACACTTAAGACTGCCATCAGCATTTTCAGCAAACAATAATTTTTTTGGTAAATTATTTTATCAAAAGCCTAATTAATATAGCCACGGGCAAGCAGATGAGCCTCACCTAGGGGTTGCTTGCAGCTATTGGATTGCTTTCTCCTTACGGTCTTGTTAGTGATGTCCAGGATACTAGAAATGGATTTTGTTCCACTGAGGTCTGCGATTGCTTAATGCCCATTTCAGTGGCCGCTATTTATTTCTGTAAATACTACTTATCTGATTGCTGTGGACAAAAAGTGGAAGATTCTGGTATGAGTACATGAAGTGCAAGGTTTTGGACAAAACAGAATGAGTGATACACTGAGCATATATATATATATGATACTCAGTGTGCGTCTACTGAATGTATGTAAACATACTCAATGTACATATACACTGAGTATAGATAATGTGATTTACCTTTTGTATGATGTAGCATCATTAAGTTTTGATGTTAGTGGATTAGCTATAGGTTTTCCTAAAGATGTTCAGGAATATAACAGTTTCTGTACGCCCTAGATTTGTTGGCTATTAAATCCCTTCCAGGAAAAGCTCAGAAGAGAAGTGGATGGACCTCTCTGGAAGGGGACAAGTGGATTTGACTTTGTGCTTCACCTGGTTACTGGCTGATCTTGGACAACTGGCTTTCTCTCTCTCTCTCTCTTTCTTTTTCCACCTGTTAAACACAGATGATTACTAACTCAGACCCTTTATAGCAAAACAGTTTGAAATCTCCTGATAGGAATAACAGCTAATTCTTCCCTAGTTTACTGTTTAGTGAAACATCTGTACAGGGTGCTGGTAACAATGGGACATAATATTAGTTACTCCAGATAAAACCCATACCCTTAACCATGACTTTGCTTCCCCTCCAGCCTGCAGCGCTGTTTTTTTTTTTTCAGTATCTCACTGACTTGTCTATAAGTCTGGAGACCCTTACGACTTTCACTTCATTGAGCAAGATCATTCCTCTTGGGAGGAGACAGATCATTGTCTCTCCTCCCTTTTATATTCCCTTGTTCTTAAATGCTAGAGATCACAATCTCAGAAATGTGGATGATCATCAGTATTTTTGTGGTCAGCGCTCTTTACCAGCCATTTGGACTTTGCAGAAACTCCATATTGAAGAGCAGCTACGGGCCACTACACAATGCAGGGAAGATACAGAGAAGATAGCAGTCCTTCTTGGAGCACTGTAGTGCCACGGAGTACAACCTGGCACTCCCAGCTGATAAACTGCTGGCTTGCTTCTTGCACTCCCAGGAGGGATTTTTGGAAATGCCAGGGAAGAGCCATGACCTCACAGCTTCTTACTGCCTGTCCCAAGGGAACCTTCACAGGAGGTGATTGCCAGTGACGTTTCTTTGAGACAGTAGTTGCTGTCAACATTACTGCCCTCTTAATTTGTAGATCCAGGTGTACTTCAGTAATTTCAAAAGCTTTCATTGTAGAGAAAACGAACAACCCTGGCTTACGAGATTTTTTCATGCTTCCTTTTGTTTTGCTGTGATAGCCCTGAGTAGTCAGTATGAAAAACAGGCACAAGAAGCATGGATTTGCTGCAAGAATAACTTCAGAAATGTGTTGGTATTAGCAACAGCAGTATGTGTGTGAATGTGTGGTATGATAGGAGGGGAGAATCCCAATTAAAAATTAATCCCAATTAAAATCTTGCTGCTAAATAAGTGACAGAGACCTTAGAAACATTATGAGACTCCAGGCCAACTATGGTGGTAATAATAATAATATAACAATACCTGGTCTGTGACTTTTTTTATATAGAATAGTATACATGTTGGAGGGTTTTGGTTTTTTTTTTCAATTGTCATTTTTCTAACTTTAATTTAGTTTGTGGTTTTGTTTTCTGTTTTTCCCCAGCATTTACTAAATGCTGTCAAGAAACTGGTCTTCTTATGGTGGTGAAGTGTCGGCAAGAGAACACGGCACTGAAAGATTGTCTGGTTGGCTAGTAAGTCCCTCTTGAGTTTTTGTTGGTTTTTTGTTGCATGCCCTCTACTAATCCAGAAATGAGTAGAAATCTTGAATCTTCTCAAAAGGGTTGTGCAAGGTTAGTGATTTCAATGTATTTTCTGAAAATTGCATCTTTGCTTTAGGGGGAAAAAAAAAAAGTGCTGGTTGGGGTGCTACCTGACAAGATTTTATTTCCTTAATAAAGCTCTCCCATGGCTATAAAGAATCTCTTCTTGATTTAAATGGTGATGGAACTAGATTTTCAGCCCAGACAACATATATCCCTGTATCACTGTGCTGCATTGCGTACATAGGGAATGGGGGTGAGCAGCAGAAGCACCTTCATACTCTCTTAGTGAGACAGGAGAAGTTTGTTCTGATTTTGCTTCCTGAACTGTTTTTTAAGATTTGGTCTTTGTCCTGAAAGTGTCCTGCTGTTGCAGACAGCAATAACAGCAGCAATGGGACATTGTTAGGTATTAGAGAGGTCAATTCGATGTCATGGTGGATTAAAACATCTCTTTTGGAAGTCCTGATTTATCCCCAGTGCCATCAGGCTGAAGTGTTAGATTCTTGAATTTCCCAGGGTGAGGGCTGGGGGTTTGTTGAGTTTGACCGGGAGGGGGAGAAGGGGATTGGTTTGGGTTTTGGTGGAATGTGTGTCCTGCCCTTTTAAAGCAGAGATTAAGATTAAATGTCTTTAAACTAGTGACAGTTATTCTCAGGTTTGGGAATTGATGAAAATACATGTGCAGCCAGGCAGGAGTTCAAGCCTGACTGCAGTGAGAACTTGCTGGAGTTTGTCTGTTCCTCCATGCATTAAATTTTGTCTTTTTATAATCAAACAAAACCAGCAGCCAAACCAAATACTACTGAAAAAAAAAGATTAGTGCTCGAGTAATTATACTTAAAATCAGAGTTATGAGACAAAAGAATTGAATTTAGTGATCAAGGACCTACGTGTTTACTGTTAAAAGACATACACTTGAACCTGTTCCCAGTAGTTGCTTGGGTGCATAAACGTAAGTGTCCTCCAGCAGCTTCCCATGCTGAGGAAGCTAACTGCAGATAATAACAAATTATGTAGCTGAACTGAAATACCAAAGGTTTTCCCCTTTTTTACCTTTCCCCTTCGTGGCTTCACTGTAGAGGCTTGCAAAGGACTATGCCTCAAGAAGGAGCAATGTCACGAGAGCACAGACAAACTCAGTGTTTAGAGTTTACAAAGATAACATTAACGCTTATGTGCTTTTTAAAAAAAGGTCTTTTATTATTGAAGGCAGGCAAATTTTCTTTGGGTGTGAAAGGAAGATGAGTTATGAATGTTACTCATGAAATATTTGTTCCATATTCCAAGATGAAAACCAGTATTATGTATTTGTCTTGTAGCTATTCTGATCCATTATTCTATGAAGAGTGCAAAACAGAATATTTGAAGCAAAGAGAAGAATACAGAGCAACTGGAATTAAGAAAAAAAGACAGAAGGTTACTTCAAATGTGTAGTTAAAACTTAAAATGAGCTTTTCAAATTTTATATCCAACTTTCGTTTGCCTTGATTTAAACAGACTTAAATCATCTGTACCCCTCTGTGTGGAACTTAACTGAAATACACAAAATGAATGGAGAATAAAATAATCTCTGACCACAAAAGTAAGGTTTTTATATTTTCTGTAATTAAAGATATAAAGCACGCTGTTACAGTTTGCAAGCTGCGAAGGTCTGTTCCTCTGCCTGGACTTGACATTTTGTTACCAATTTACAAATGGCCTTTTGGAATTTAAAGCTTGTGTTTAGTAATGTGTGGCAGGCTACATAAAAACTTAAGGGTGAATACTTTAAGTTGTATTAACTGATCACAAATTGGTATATATTAAAATTGGTCTGTTGGTCATCTGAAGCTGAGGGTATATGGAGATGCTCATACCAGAAGGGAAAAGTGGTAAATGCAGAAGAGAAGACCCTCTTGGACCAATTTGACTTACCTTTTCCATAAAAATGTTGAGTTGTATGAGAGTCCAATAGTACTTTTGCCTACTGTGACTCATTTTTAAGTCTACATTACCAGAAGAGATGGATGCCCCGTGCCTGTCTGTTGTCCAGACCAACCGCTTCGACTCTAGAGGAAAAAGTCATCTGATCTAGACCTTCCTTGCAAATGGGAGAAGGCATGCTGAAGGCAAAATCATCGAGAGCAGTATCCTCCCCTGCTTTCCTCTTTCAGAATGAAGAGGGTTGTATGAGCTTCCATGCTTCAGGAGTGAGTGAGTGAGTGACCACACTTGCAAAATTATTACAGGTGGAGGTGAGTAAACAACTAAATGAGGTATGTAAGGTGCAGGTCACTTCTTGCAGAAACCAAGTGTAAGCAAGTCCCTACTTAAAAAGAGGAGTAGAAAGGATCTTTTGTACACTAATACTTGAAGCTGCTTAATTGTAGAACTCCCAAAGGCATAAATGGCCTCACTAGAGACAGTCTGTAAACTTTATATTACTGTTTTGGAGTATCTTTTGAAGCATTTTGAAATAAAAAAAATCTTTACAAGTAAGGAAAGGTTGCACTTAGCAAACTTACTCACATGGTAACTTTAATGTCCTGATTTTACAAAAAAAATGATTTTTGCCTAAATAGCAGGATGTGTTATTTTTCCATCAGAACATGCACAATTTGACTTGTTTATTTGCGTACTGTTTCACCACAACCCCAGTACTGCTCTACAGCTATTCACATAGGAAATTCAAATCAGACTTTGACATGTGTGTATGTGAAGTACTTCAGTTAATGTTGCAGGTTAGTCCATGCTCTTTATTCCGTGCCTTTTACTGGAATAATCGATAATAATGTTGCTTCTGCTATTACACAGCAGCTTGGCTGGAGGGCCAGGGAATGCTTGCAAATGAAAAACTGAAAAGATGTGTAGCGGTCTGCCTCATTAGGCAAACTTTAGCACATACTGAATTGTGCTGTCAGCCCTTCATTGCTCTTTACCGACAGTGTTGGGTGTGCAAGGAAGAACTGGGTTGTTGCAGCTCCTCCTTTGGTTACTGTGGCACTTGGAGCTGGGCTCTGCCATCAACTTCCTCTGTAATACAGCCGTGGCCTTAATTTGGTGTTTCCTAGTTTTGAATTCTTGACTTCACACCTTTAGCTTTCTTAATGTCTGTATTTTAATTGCATTTATATCTTGTATTTAAAGTTTAAAAGAAAGAAAGAAGTCACAAACTCATACTAGTGAACTGCTTTGGGTTTTCTTTTTGTCTCAGCTGCAACCTTTCCTTCCTACTCAGGTTAACAGGAAGCAGCCCCAGATTCTAATCAATGTAAGAACACATCAATAGTATTGACAAAGCCTTAAGCTGTCCTTCAGCAGTGAACTGGAATAATTTTTGCTACATGTTGAATGTTTTTTAAAAAGCATTTCTATTTTGTCAGAAGTTACTTGTGAATGAGGAGAGAGGGTAGAGCTGGCTGTCTTCCCCCCATAGCCTCTCCACCTCCCAGCAAAACAAAACCCATAGCTGCCTGTATTTGGAGAGTAGCCAGCTAGAAGTGACATCAGTGCTTCATCTAGCCATCGCCATCTAGAACAGGGATTGCAGCTCTAATGCATGGGCCCTAGATGTTTCTTTATATGTTTTTTTTCATTTTGAAATCAATTCACATTCTCCTTCTCTGTAGTAGTAGACAATGGGTGGAATTAATCTAGGTGTGTCTCCAGTGTTCTCAAGTTAGCCTGTTAACACAAAAGGATTACTCACGTGTGGAGGCAGGGACTAACTCAACAAGTGGGTCAGCCAAAGTCTGACGTGTGGCAGTGCTGCTCGCCCAGCAGTTAGTATTTCTGCAAGTGCCTGGTGTTTTCTAACACGTGACATCCTTCCGTCTGAAGTCACCCGCTGTGTGGCACTAGTAATTGCCAGCGACGGAATAAGGTCTTAAAGTCAGAAGACCGATTTGTCACCTAGCACCCTCGCTGGGTGCAGCAAGGCACCTGTCCCAGTTTCAGCAGCAAAGGGGCCAACTGTTACTTCTTCCTAGCACTTGGGGGACCTTGGCAAGCACTGTAGGCACCCACATTTTTCACTTGAGACTGCACTCTTTCAGTGTATGAAGGCACTCTTCAAACTCCTGAGAGAAGCTCCCTACAACTGTGAGAACTAAAAGGAAAAAGGTGTCATATACTTATTAAAAAATTACCCTCAGAGTAAAATGAAAACTCTGAGGACAGATGAGGGTAGGTTGTAAGGCACAGGGTTTTCAGAATGGAACCACATACCGCTGCAGACTTGGGACATCACCTGGCGATTCATCAGTAAGCCAGAAACCCATTCTGCCTCATACTTACAACTCCTCCTCCTCAAGTAATTCCTGTGTTCTCTGTTTACTCTGCTGTTCCAAAAATGGTCAAATATACCTGAGATGTTACTGTTCTGTCTAGTAAAGATCAGTTCAGTAACAGTAAGCATCTGGCTATTTCCTTCATGCTTCTCCCCTAGAACAAACACGTATACTCGGACACTGTCATTACCCCTTCATTACTGTGTCTTGATGTTTGAACCACTTCACAAAACATTTAAGACAGAGAACAGATTTAAAAAAAAAAAAAGTTCAACTGCAACTCAATTAAAATTAGGGTTTAGCTTAGTGCTGATAATAAAAAAAATGAAATACTTTTGCCCACTGTCCTATGTTCATGCAAGTAGCTCACCACTCCCCCTACAAAAGAGGTAAAAGCCTGACCCCTAAAAACCCAAACCAATGCGCACTCCCCCCCATCCCCCTTTTAGTATTCAAACTACAGCAAGCAACAGGGAAATACCTTACTGCTCCACCCCCGCCTGTTCTGCACAGGGCCTGGCTGAGCAGCAGCACAGAATACAGGTGAGTCAGTCAGGTACCAGAGCTTTTCCCTCTTATTTTACCAGGCCAGCATTAAAAATACAGGTGTCTGAGCATAGGAGTCTCAAAGGCTACTGCAAATTGGTTTTGAAATAAAATTAAATCTGCTTTACATCACTAGTATAGGTTATATTATATTGACGTGGGCCTGTGTTAAAGTACTTGGAATGGGTATTGTCTTTCTGTAACTCCACCATATGTATAGTACTGCTCTCATCTTTTTCCAGCTGTAAAAATCTGATAGTACATCATCACAGCTAATTTGGGAGTTTGCTTTCTTCACTACAGCTGCTTCACATAAGAGGAAAACTAATCAGTCATAAACCTACAAAACTGGCAGGGAGACTTACTTAAAATGATCAGATTTTAAAAAACAAACAAACAAACTTGAACGAAACAAACAGTGGAATTATTTTACATATGTTATTAGAAGGTTAGTTCAACTCGCCAAATACATATTCAATAACCTGCCATATGCTCCCTTAACTGGGCAAAGCAAGAACCCCCTCCTGCCCCAAAAGCTGTCTTCTCTGTTAAATGGTATTGGTGCTTTCTTAAATTAAAAACTGTCACATCCGTGGGTTGGGGGAAGTTTTGAAACATTCCATATTTGCATTCAAGTGAGGGTTTTTCGGGTGTCATTTAACACACTTGAGGACTTTGGTCCTTACCACATGCAATTTTATCTAAGAAAGAAATGCACATGTGTACAGAACACCAGAACCCCTTTACTACAGCTACTTCTGCATGTAATTTGCTGTCACTGCGATGAAAAGCTTTCACTTCTGAAAATGGAAAAAGCACTGTAAGCCACTAGTGGCACAGATTTAAATGACTTTTCCATCCCAAGTCAAAATTTGATTGTATGCTTCAGACCAGCAGATGCTTCACAAGCCAGCTAGCTCCCAAGGGACTTCAAATCTGGGGACTTCCTTGGCAAATGTTATGCTTTGGCCACAGCAATGAGCAAGCGGATTGGAAATGCTGCCTGCACCAAGCGCTCCGTCCTCGTGCCTTCCTCTCCCAGGCAGTGGCAGTTCTTCTACAAGTCCCTCTCAGCAAACATCACTGCGCCCTTCTCCAGCACAGAGAAGATAATCCAAGAGTCAAAGGTAAAGCCTGGAAATTCTGGGGGGCTGCATGCACGGAGCAGCTTAATTTTACGTTTCCCTGTCACCCAGGACAGGACAGGCTGATCAGGAACCTTCTGACACAAGTAGTTAAAACAGCAGGAACACACCATAGCTTGAGGTAACAAAGCCCTTCAGGTTTCAACATCTAAGAGAATGCTTTTCCCGGAATACATTGGGGGCAGTCTATAGTGGATGTTTGGGGTTTTTGCCTGAATGGAGGGGAATGAACTTCAAATTAATTAATTGTATTTGGAATGACCTTTATATACAATCAAGAAACTAAGTAAAAAAAAAATTGTGCCAAATACTGAAAGGAGATTTGTAAGTGAAACCAATTTCAAACAAAAATAAATTTATTTCAAATCTTACACAGTAGAATTCCTTCATTGCACAAATCAAAGTATTAATCATGTTGATGGCTGTTGGATAATACATTACTTCTTAATAAAAAACCCTCTGTAATGTTGAGGTG